CATAGAAAATGGAGTAGCCCCTGGCTGGCGTAGCTCAGTGGATTGAGCGCGGGCTGCGAACCAAATTGCTGCAGGTTCGATTCCCAGTCAGGGCACATGCCTGGGTTGCAGGCCATGGCCCCACACATTGATGTTTCTCTCTCTCTTTCTCCCACCCTTCCCTCTCTAAAAAAAATAAATAAATAAAATCTTAAAAAATAAAAGATACCTAGTTTAAAAAAAGAAAAAAAGAAAGAAAATGGAGTAGTGAAAGAACTTACATGCATGACCCATGGACATGAACAATGGTGTGGGGAATGCTGGGGGGGGGAGGGGGGAAAGGGGGTAAAATTGGAACAACTATTGATTATGCATCAATAAAATATCATTTAAAATAAATAAATAGATTGCATTTCTTCTTGAGCTTAAAAAATGTTTCAAACTAATATAGAAATGAAGAGTACCAATATCTTGATACAGATCTCCATTCATTCAACTGAATAATTACTGGTCTTGCATGTATTTCAAAATACCTTCTCACATACTGTTTCTGTCACTTGAAATATTCTATCTACATTCTTCATCTGTAAGATTCCTAACTAACTCTTATAATGTAGATCTTATGTTACCTTCTGCAGAAAACCCATTCTATGTTGATAGAACATAGAACCTATCTTACTTACATCCCTCAGTCAGTCTGCGAGTTCCCTGAGAAAGAGACTATGTCTTTTATAGTTCAGCCCAGCAGAAGGCAGATGCTATCTACTCAATAATGTTTGATGAATGAATAAATGAGTGAAAAAATAAAGAATGCTACTGAAATAAATCAGGATAGCAATGATAAAGTTTTAACTAAGGGGACGGCATAAATCTCTCACAGGGCTATAGAAGTTCGCTTCTCACTGCTTTCCCTCTTTCCTTGCCAGACTCAGTTTGGCAATTATCATGCAGTCAGTAGGGAAAAGAGCAAGCAAGCTACTCCATGTGAGGAAAAAGTCAATCTAATTAACTCCCCTCCCTGATAAAGGTACCAAATTCTCTACAAACAAAGCACACAGATACAAATGCTCTTAAGGAGAGAAGTTACACATACAAAGGATAAATCTTTACACACACAAAAGGAGACACTAGACCTTGGGAATGTATTTATTTCTCCTTGTAAAAAATTTATTTCTCCTTGTGTTATGGTTCACATTTTTGCCCACAATATGAGTAACTAATTCTGTAGTTAGGAAGCAAAAACCAAGAAACAAAAATAAAATGTTGAAATCAAGGACAGAGACATAGCTGAAGAAGAAAATCACTCAGGGAAGGGCGGCAGGCAAGGGGTTCCAGAAGCGAGTGGAGTGTGTGGCTTTGAGGAAGCCACTCAGTCTTTACGAACTACAGTTCTCTCATCTCTAAAATGAGGGGGACGAGCCCCCAGAGCCTGTTTTCAGAATGGCAGAAAATTCAGATGTATGACAATCATAGATTAATTGCTCTGCAGATTTAATCATTCCATGAATATCTGTATACTTAGAGTATCTGGAAATCTGGTTTATAGAAAGTAAATATATAGGGAATGGTAACTAAAGTGAAGTCAGAATACCTGACTAAAGACATTAATTTTAAGTAAAAAGTATACTCTTCTCCAGTATTCCCTGCCTGAGAAAAGATCGGGTAGTTTATTCAAGCTGAGGTATGGTCCAGAATGTGCCTCTAGATTATGAAACATACATCTAATTTTTTTAAGCAAGGGCTTTGGTTACTTGGTAATTTCTTTTTAAAATAATACTATCATGATAACAAGATATAGCTAATTTTTACCAAACGCTTTCTACATGCCAGGCACCATTCTACATGCTTTTACAAAGATATATCTCATTATAATTCCTATTTTACCAAGAACAAGAGAGGTATAAGTCATTTACCTAACTCCTAACTAATAAGCGGAAAGCAGTTCTCAGAAGTGTGATATGTCTACTCTTCCAACAAACATTTATTGAATGCCTATTACACTCAAGCCAGGCAATGTGCTAGACAGTGACATTTTTTAGGGCATCACAGTGCGATCAAGAAAACATACATGGGCCCAGAACAGTAGACAATAAGCCACAACAAGATGCATCACTGTGAATCTCAGAATGCTAAAGAAAAAAAGAAAGAAAAGAAAAGTAAAGAAGGTTCTACTAACTTAATTCTACAAAGGTGGAAGAGAGGGAATATTAGACAAAGGATCAAAAGTCGGGATGGCTTTGGATTCATTAATAGCAACACTGGAAGTCAGAAGTCAATGGAGTAATGCCTCCTAAATGAAGGTAAATGGTTTCAAGCCTAAAATTCTACACCCAACCAAACTAACAACCAAATGTGAGGGTAGAATAAAGATATTTTTCAGACATATAATGTCTGAAAAAGATTACATCTCATGTACCATTTCTTAGAAGAAGCACTCTAACAAAACAAAAGGAAAAGGTAGGATCAAGGAAGCAGAAGAAACATCACTAGAGAGTTATGTGCAAGACAGAATGGGCAACCCACCCACACTGAAGAAGCATGACCCAAGAGCTATCCTAGCAAGGGAGGACTGTCGTCATCAAGATCACTTTTGTAGCAGTACTGGCCTTTAACTTGGCAATGCTAAGGAAGTCTTCCCCAGATTCATTTTTGGACACGGTTTGTTTGGGCCATGTGCTAATGAAGTTCCTGCTTTCCCCTCAACGCGGGATGGGCTGAAGACCCTCATTGTGACCCAAAGAAAAATTCTGCTTTGCCCTATTTCTGAGGGCTGAGGGTTAGCCACAATGAATTTACAAGCAAAAAATATAGAACAGCCCATTGCCCCTGACCATGTTCCTTTCAGATATTCTGTGGGAACCTGGCCCATCCTACAGACCTGCCAGATACTCTGAATATAAGCCCTGTGTTTCCCAGGATTCAACTGCCCTCTGACTTCTCCACAAGGGGCTCTTACAAACTATCAGGAAAGTTAAAGCTAGATAATGATTCAAATAAATCAGCTTTTGTTTTCCAGAAATATGTTATCTAAGAAGGATAATAATGCTTTTTTTACATAGCCAGGTTCATACTGCTATTCAGCTTTTATATTTGGCACTTTTAACATCACTTTGTACATTAATATATAAATGTATATAAATAAAGCAATTTCATAGTTGCTTGTTAAAAAATAAATAAGATAATGAAAAGTACTATAAAGGAAACAACATTTGCTGACAAAACAGAGTATAAATGACACCAACAATGATGAAAGTTTTTATACCAATGTGGGCCCTAGAAGCTCAACTGCAAGTGGAAAGAATTTCCTTTGCTGAATGTCTTTAGATGAGCCAGCTTCAGAAATTTAAGCATGCCTGGTTCATAGAAAAATTATTTCCAGTTATATTAAACAAGTACTCAGTGACTTTATTTATATGACAAATTCAAGCATTCTCAATTATTCTCAAATCAACCATGGGCCAATATAAAAACACTCAATTTTATCTCACGGAGCTTGTATAACATAAAATACATTTCAGAGTATTTTTCTTGATTTGTGGAAGAATTTCAACAGCCGCAGAAAGTTTTTCACTGCAGTTCTAGGGGTATTGTTTTGTTTTTTTGGTTGCATTCGATCTTTGCTTATGATGGAAATTAGAGACTTCAGTATACAAATTTGGTGTGGGCCTTTAAGGTGACAAAGTTAGGGTTAAATCCTTAAAGAACAGATTAACCTAGTGCTGGTAGACATAGTTCCTCTGTTTGAATCAACAGTCATTCATAGAAAGAACAACTATTGCAAATTACTAGAACTACTAGTACTATATTCTACAGATTTTATCTAGGCAAAGGGTAATTCCATGTCTTCTAGTACACATTGTCTAACTCGAATGACCCAATCTACATAGTTTGCAGTTGTTAAAGGATGCTGTCCTTCAACTTCTCGTAATATAAATCATCTTGGAAAAAGAACCAGCTAAAATGATTTAAACACATTGCACTCAAGACTCTCTGTCCACGACCTGGCCCCTCTGTAGCCCTCCACATGCACCTGTTACTCTGTTCCTCACTTTCCACACTCAGCCAGGCTAGACGGCTCTTAGTTCCTCCGATGCCACTTTCTCCACACCAGGCTGTTCTCTCTCCACTTCGCTTGCCCATTTCACCTTCCAGGTCTCAGCTTAGGCATCAGCTCTCCAGAGAGGGCTTCCCTAGGCTCACCCTCCATGACATCTTCTACTTCCTGGGTATGACACTCATCACATCCAGCTGTAAGCTCCAGAGGGCAAGGATCGTGTCTACCTATTCACGGCTAGATTTGCACCATCTGGTGTCGCGCCTACAATACTTGTTAAACTGGACTAAAGCTTTTATCAGTTGACTTTAAGGTAGATATTTGTAATTTTAAGTAATTGGCCAGGAAATAATTCAAGTTTTCTGAAGTAAATATTTGACTTTCAACCTTTCTTCCCTCCTCCATGTTCACACACTTTCTTTTACTTCCTTCAAAGTTAAATGTACTGGTTTTCTTTTAAGCTGGAAGAAAATGGCAGATTCACTGTATAATTGTTTCAACAATATTGGGACTTCATTCTCTTTTACTCTCAAATATATTATAGGTACTCTCGAATTATAAGTACATATCATATTATATTATAAGTTACTCTCAAATTATCAGTACATATAATTATCCTATAATTACAATATTGATAGAACCATCCACTCAACAAACATTTACTATGAACCTCCTCCATTTAGATCAAATACTAATTTTATAACACATAAAGTCATTGAGATATGCTTGCTAATCAGGGCATCATAGCTCCGCACCTTCCCTGTCTTTTAAAAATAAACAGTAGATACTTTCATGATGAAAGAACATACCAGCAATGATTATTTTTCTTTAAAATGTTCCTTCTAGAGAAACAACAATAACTCTGAGTGCATTGTGGCGTGGAGAGGCAGGCATAAATACATTCTCAACAACCAAAGAATTAAAGCAATCTTTTTTCAGCCTCTTACGTTACCAGCAGTGTCCTCACCTTGGAGGTTTCATTATCCCAAATGGCTAGACCAAAGTAGTCTTCTTCCAACAGATTGAGGTGCTCACACACTCGCTTAAGCAAATCTTGTCCTTTTGCATGTTTCTGCGAAGATATGCATACTTTAGTTGAGGTTTCCTTTTATTCCTGTATTCGTCACCAAATAAAATAAATTTCATTTTCCAATTTCCTCTTTTATCTTTGGTCACCAACACTTTCAAATGTGAGTTACAAAAATCTCATTTCATTATTTGTAAACAAATACACAACACACTTACAGTGGCTTGGAAACAGTGCTCTAATTCGAAGCAAAATTCCACCTTCCCTCCATCTACCGCCACACCCTCACCTGCATCCTGAACACGGCATGCTTTACTGTCTGGGGCAGTATTTCCTGAAGCTCGCTATGGGCTGCTGTGGCTCATCACAGCCATCTGGATTAACTGAATCAACTGTTGACACTGACAGGTATTAATGGCTTTGGAAATCATTAGACTCTCTATCATTCTCAGACCAGATGTCCCAAGAGAATGAACTATGTCTCAAGTCTGTTCAACCTCTTCCAGAAAAATGTATAAAATGTAAAATTCTAGATACCCTGCCTATATGAACTACTGCAGTCACTCTTTCAGTTGTGCTACAAGTCATTTTCTTAATGTCCCTTTACCTAGAAAATAAACCACTACCAATTGTAGGTACTTGCATTCCTGTCTATGGAGAGGAAATGCCCTAACTTAGGAGTTAAAATTTAGAGACAAAAAATCCTGGCTCATCCATACACTAGCGAAACAACCTAAGTCTATTCAATTACTACTTCTGAACATTAGCTTTCATTTTTACACCTGTCCTATTTATTGACTGGAATATTTGAAAAGAAAATCAAATATGCTAGTCAATGCCTTCTGAGAAACATTTTTAAAATATAAAAAAATTAGAAATAATCTTTTGGAACACATATGATATATGATATGTCCTTTTCCCCATGAGCTGAGTTATTTTTAATAACTATTAGTAATTCACATAGATATGAATTCACTTTCAGACTTAACCCATTTATATTACATCATTTTCTCACCTATGTTTTCACTCTAAATGATGGAGATGATTTGGGAATTCTGCACATATAGGTCCCTACTCCCTTGTGATAATTCCAAATCGAGAAGCTAAGTGACGGCTATTTTTGTCAAAGCTTACTTGAAGGCAAATTCTGAACTGTTATGGGGCTATTTTTGATCTTTTATTAATCATATTAAAATGAATCTTCAACATTTTACCACAAAAATAATGTGTTTGACCAAATGTCTGACTGCTATACATTCTACTAGGTGTAGTATGAAATATGCAGAACATGTACTTATAGCTTTTCTAAAACCCAAAATATTCTGAATTCTCAAACACATCTGCCTCCAAATATTTCAGATATAAGGGGCCCATATCTGGATCTTGGTCTGAATGGGAAGAACGAGCGTGGAATAGCTTTCTTCATCTCTAAACTAACTCATGGTGAGGACTAGGGCATACCATAGGTCCACAGGTCTCCTCTAGTTACCCGGTAGAGTAGATATTTTCAAAGTTCAACAGTTTATTTTTCAAAACTTAGAGAGGGAATACCTATTAATAAATATATTTTAGACTATTTGTGCTTTGATATATTTGCATTTGCACACAAATAATTCAATTCAGAAATAATTGGTTACAAACCTAAGATACAAGTGTATATGAATTGTTTTATTAGTAAAAGCTATTATTAACAATGATCACAGCAATTGCTTTATACCAAGCATATAACTGACAATTACTGCTCTAGTTAAAAAAACACCTAACAGGTTTTAAAGGATTTTAACTTGTATTGAAGGAGCAAAAGAATAATTAAACAACATATTTTTATTCAATCTTGATTCAATTCTTTATTCTTTCAGAAAATAATACAGAATTTTAAGAAATGGCGTTACTTGAATTAAAAATTTTATATCCTATTTCATGGGGATAAAGAAATACATTAAGTAAACTAAAGCTTATTAAGGTTTAGACAGCAGAAATGAACAGATAGTAATTTTTTTTGACAAATACAATTATGGGGATAACTGCATCTAATACCAGAAATTGAGGCTATCCTAGGAAATTTGTCACAGAAGGTTACTCTACAAATAACAAACCTATTTTTTTAAACAGAATTGTTTTTGAATCATAAAAGTAACACAGGCTCAATTCACAATATTTGACAGATGCGGAAAAAAACTGAAGAAAACAGACTCACCCACAATCCTTCCACACCTCTCCCTCCAGAAGAATCGCTGTTAACATTTCAGCCCTTAGAAATGGTCGTTGCACTGGGCCTTACCTCAGGCCATGGCACCCCTCACCCAGCCCTACATGAAGTAAGTTGTAAGACTTCTAACCACTGAAACTGAAAGAGCACTTACTTCCACAACACATTCGTAAACTGTGTCATCCAACAAAGAAATTTTGCAATGCATGTTTCTGTGTCTTCTGATCGACTTATGGGAAGCTTTTATTTCTCTTTCTGCTTTTGATTCAGGACTTTCTTCTTTCACTTCTGTTTTAGAGCACTCTTCCACTCCTCCTTCTTCCTTAGGTTCAAAATCTGGATCTTCTCTCTGTTCTTCCTGAGCAGGCTACGTATACATGACATCGCCAAGTCAGTAATACAAACATTTCACAAAACATTCTATATACACTTCTACCTATAATAATGCTCCCAACAAAAGCACTAATTGAAGAAAAGAAATTGTTGAAACAAATATAAGTGATATTAAGATTATTTTTCTGTAAAAGATATTAGTCTCCCAAAAGATCTACAGACTATATTCTTAAAACTTCATAAGAGAAGGTAGAATCCCATCTTTCAAACCAATAAATGAAGGTTTCGAGTAAACTAGAGGACACATCTGCTGCTTTCAGCATTATATATTCCTGCCTATGCCATTACATATTTTTAAAGTCTATCAAAACTTTAACATCTCTGCGCCATGCTCAACTTTAGCAAGGAGGCCTAATGAATTGTAAAATGAGATGTGATTTGTCACGTATCCTAAATTTTGTGAATGGTTAAGAGGAGTTTGGGGACCAATTTTAGAGCATAAAGCAACACATATAGTAGGCTAACAACTGTAACTACTAATTAACTGATACTAGGTATCAATCATGATAAATGCGAAGATCCAAAGAAGCAAGAGACAGATTGAAACCTGGGTCTCCTAGGACCTAAACTGTTATGGGGCTATTTTTAATCTTTATCCATCTTAGAATGAATCTTCATATATTTTACATTTACATCCCAAAGTTATACAGGTAAGTGGAATGACATTTTGGCAGACTTTTACTTCCAGCAAAACAAAATTGCTAAAAGATTCTTAACTAAACCTCACTAATTCTTTTCTTTCAAAAAAATACATGATTGACATTTAGGAAAAAGGATTTCATTATGTGGCTCCTACATTAAATTTTGGAAGAGGTCTGAAAGGCTCCTTTCCAACCCTCATGACCCTCTTAAAATGCAACCGCTTCTGAGGGGTCTTTTTATTTATTTATTTATTTTTAGACAGAGGGAAAGGTAGGGAGAAAGAGAGGGAAATATCAATGTATGGTTGCCTCTCACATGGCCCCAACTGGGGACCTGGCCCACAACCCAGGCATGAATAAATAAATATTAAAAATTGACCCATGGCTTCCAAAAAACCCAAGGCATTCTAGGTGAAAACTGTAAGGCAAACTCACTTTTTTAAAAAATCCTGGAGAGAAAAGGCCCACTCAAATGAAATTCTCCTACAGCCTTTATTCACAAGGTTCTGATCCACAAGGGGTTGACTTTAAACACTAGCTTCCAAAAAGCCCCAAAACAGTTTCCTCCTTTAAACAATATCCCTTGAAATTTTGTTTCTTTTTCTTTATATGTAGACAAATACCTGCACACGATTTATCCCAACTCAGAATTAATGAAGTTTTAATGAATGAGATTTTAGTTAAATCTAGAATTGTGTCCTTCGTCTGTTTCAACTTCAGTACAAACGCTATGATCTTTAAACAAAATAAAGCAATTCTGAGTCAAATGCTAACTAAAATGAGATACAATTTTCTCCCTACATAAAGCAGAGGACAAAAAAAAAAAAACAGTTAAAAACCTCCTGAAAGCACCAGGCATCCTGAAAGATGATATAATTTAGCTCTTTTGGTATTCTCTTTTTTAAAAAAATTAAGATTTTAGTTAGTTAGTTAGTTAGTTAGTTTTAGAGAGGGAAAGGGAAGGAGAAAGAGACGGAGAGAAACATCAATGTGTGAAAACATTGCATGCCCCCCACTGAGGACCTGGCCCGCAATCCAGGTATGTGCCTTGACTGGGAATCGAACTGGCAATGCTTTGGTTCACAGGCCAGCACTCAATCCACTGAGCCATACCATCCAGGGCTCTTTTGGTATTCTTAAAATAAAATTAATGATATTAAGATAGGTAGAGTTTCTTTGCCTTTACTGTTCACATTTATTAAATAAATAACAACAACTAATATCTATTGATGTTACTATGTGCCAGGCAATGCCTTAAGAGCTTTACATGTTTATCTCTTCACTCCTCATAATTACCAGATGCGGCGAATACTATTACCCTCCCTGCACGGAGGAGGGAACTGATAAAGCCAGTGTCACTTCTCTATGATTTGAACCCTCCAGTCCGATTCCAAAGCCTGCATCCTTATCTGTTACACTGTGTAGTAAGTCTTGCTTTCAATCTTGTTTCACTAATAGCAAGAATGTAACTACAACTTTATCCTAAATTTTCCTCTTAGCACCTTTAAAATACAATATTTCCAGAATTACATGTAATACTTTTAGGAAATTCTAATAAAACCGCATAGCCCAAACCTGAAACCTATGACAGAAATATATAGGACTTCTACTTTTACTACGCAGATAATGCTCACATGCTTCAGGAATAAAAAGACTGAAAATTTCCCCACATTTTTTTGGACAGATGAACAAATTCACAGCTCGTGTTTAAGTTTCACTACACTGTAACACAGTTAAGGCTTCAAATTACTGTATATTACAATGGTGATGTAAAGAGCTAGACGTCCTCATCTGTTTCTTACATTCTGTGATAATGTGGTCTCGTTGGAGAGCAAGACAAAAATAAGGCAGGCACGGCTCAAATCTTCCCATGCCTCTGGACGGCCTGAGTCTGTCACGTGGCTTTTATGAGACTTCCATAGAAGAATCGTGTCTGCTGATAACTATCCCATGCCTAATAATTCCAACAAAACGAACTCTAAACCACCTGAATTCTTTTTTCCTTTGTATTAAAAATACGAACTTGTTCCACTATTACAGTAAAATGATACATAGGCTGAATAAAACCATGTGATAAATTCTTTTTTCACTTTCTTTTCTCTGATTTATACTATATAAGTATCTTTTTAAAAATCAAATTTCCATGGACTACATTAATTGTTTTATTTTTAAAATTTTATTTTTCAACTACAGTTTACACTCAGTATTATTTTGCATTCGTTTCAGGTGTACAGCCTAGTGGTTAGACAATTACATACTTTACAAAGGGATCCCCTCGATATTTCAAGTGCTCACCTGGCACCATACATAGTGATTACATTATTGTATGTCATATACAATATATCCCCTATGCTGCACTTTACGTCCCCATGACCACATTAATTTCTTTAGAGCAGAAACTCCAAACCTTCATGTTACTTACCACGATCAATGCCAAGGCAACTGGCTAGTAAGGAACAAAACCAGAGGTTCTTACATGAAAAGTAAGGTGTGGAACCTACCTTCATTATACCCTCCTCCCACGTATCTGCACACCCTTACCTGTGTTTCCGCACTGCTTAATGAGTGAAGGTCCAAGGATGGGTCTGTTTTGAGTTCAGGTTCGGGGGCTGCAATGGGGGCCTTTAAAATGATCTCTTCGTCAAGACTGGTGGCAAATTCTGTTTCTTTCTGACCTCCTTCACCTTTCTCTTTAGCTGACTCTACTTCTTTGCCTTCTTCCTCCGAGACCTGAGATTTAGGCCTCTTGAGAAATGAGGAGAAGAGCCGTGACAGGCCCCTGTTCTCCGAGGTCCGCTCCTTGTTCTTGGTCAAGTCTTCACGTGTGGGAGTGTCTCCATTAGATGTCTTCAGCTTCTGCTCACACTGATGATCTCCCTCGGCTGCTGCTTGGGAAGCCTCTTCCCGCTGAGTCTCTCGCTGGCCTGAGTTGGTAGCTCCCTCGCCCTCTTCCTTCTGTTGTTGGTGTTGTGAATTTTCAGCCTCGGCCACTAAACTCTTCTCTGTTGTCATGATGTTGCTATTAAAAAGAAGTTGGGAAAGGAGGCCTTATAAGCACAACACATGACTGTAGGCAAAACCCCAAATCAGGTCAAGTGGGCCAAAATGACTATATTTAGGTATTTAATCACCAATAGACAATACTCCAGTCCATTAAACATGAGGCTTTCCATTAAAGCCCAGAAATGTTTACCTACACATCCTGAATAAATTATTAATGCCTTGACTTGCTAAAGATATGCACATAGAGAAACTGGCTTAAAATAGAATCCCCTGAGGTCACCTTAGTGAAATGTATCCTATTTTAAATTCAATGCTCAGAACTGTACATAGCAAGTACAGTTTTATCCTGCATTAAAAAAGGATATTTGTATAATGTCCTCTGAGGGTGCAAGGTTTGCAGGAATTACTCCTTTATACCCCAAAAGATAATGACATTAAAGGTTCTCCAACTCTTTATTGTTTTTTCCCCTATATTTCTTAGAATGCATAGACGTCTGTATTAAAAACAGAAAATTCAGAATTCTGATCATTTATGAAAACTGACAATAGCAATGACAAATATACAGGTAAAAGAATCACAAAAAAATCCTTACGTCTTCATCTTGCAATACTAAATTATAGGCTTTTGCAGAAGTATCCTACTTTATTTTTTAAGTTTGTTTGTTTGTTTGTTTATAGGAGATGGAAGGGAGAAAGAGAGGGAGAGAAACATTGATGCAAGAGAGAAACAGCAATTGGTTGCCTCTCACACATGCCCTGACTGGGGACCGAACCTGCAACCCAGGAATGTGCCTGGACCGGAAATCCAGCAACGTTTCACTTTGTGAGGTCACACAACCAACTGAGCCACACCAGTCAGGGCCCACTTTAAGTTCTTTAAGACCTTTTTTCTTTCTAATAAATACAATTTTGAATGCTCAGCATTTTTAAGAGTGGGTACTTAAACTCTTACAATGTAGAGAAATAATGGAGAAAAACAAAGAAACAAAATAGAGAAGAAAATGTAGTAAGCAAACAACGCAATTGTAGGAGAGAAGAAGGTAGGCTGTAGACCTCACATATTTCAAATCCGTTGGTTTCTAGCCTCTTTTTTTAAAGATTTTATTTATTTATTTTTAGAGAGGGAAGGGAGGGAGAAAGAGAAAGAGAGAGAGAGAAACATCAATGTGCAGTTACTGGGGGCCATGGCCTGCAACCCAGGCATGTGCCCTGACTGGGAATCGAACCTGTGACACTTTGGTTCGCAGCCAGCGCTCAATCCACTGAGCTACGCCAGCCAGGGCAGTTTCTAGCCTCTTGATCTCAAAACAAAACAGCCAAAGAGCATTGTCACACCTTGTTTACTAAAGAACAACCAACACGCAAGGGAACTTCTGAGACACTAGCCAATGAAGCTCTCTGATTCACCGTTAAACATGAAAGGACTCCACACATAAAGCAGCATTTACATTGTCTTTACATCTGCTCCATACTATTTAGATGAAGTAATTTTATTTGGATGTTAACAATCCAAATTAATTAATTATATTTAGCTCATTCCCTTCTCAGGCCTTTGCACTTGCTGTTCTCTCTACTCAAGATGGTCGCCTCCTGGCTCTTTGAAAGCTGTTCCTTTTCTCATCATCACCGTCTCTGCTCAGCTGTCACTTCCTTAGAAAGGTCTCCCACACACATCCTGTCCAAAGTAGTGGCCCTTACTCCTCCAGATGGCCTCACACCACTGCTGAACTTACTACAATCTATAATTATCCTGTTAACTTCATTGTTTACTGGTTTATTGCCCTCTCCCTTTCTCTCTCCCCAGACAAAATTTAAGTTCCACAGCAAATGAAGACCTGGCACATTACAGGTCTTCATTAAAGTTTGGTGAATCAATGAATTTCAATGGAATATACCTGACAAGTACAAACTGCAAAGGCATTCTCTAAGTTTATTTAAGCAAAATTATTCAAATGCATGATACTCATTCATTCAACAAATCCTCATCAAGCACCTAGCACAGGTGCTCTGTCAGGCGCTCGGGGTGCGACAGTGAACAAAACAAAACAAGTAAGGTCTATGCCATTATGGAGTTTATATTCTTGATTCAACTTTAACCAGTATGAAAAATTCAAGGGAAATCTTATTTACAATATGAGCAAAATCTAAATGATTGTGTATAAATGGAACAAAGCAATAAAAAGAGAAAGAAATTAATTTTATTGAGTACTAGTTCTGTGTCAGGTCCCGTATCGGGGCCCTATCTACGTTATATCAAATCAGCCTTTCAATGAGCCTGAAGGGGAAAGAGGAATCTCTAATCTTACAGCTGAAGAAACCTATAACTCTGAAAGCAACTTGCCCAAGGTCACACTGCTAGTAGGTTGCAAACCAACTACTTTAAGTGGTACTGAACTGAATAAAGGTATATTAAAAGGAAAAGCCTTTATGTTGGCCCTTACTCCTAATCTGCTCAAATTATTTTAAGTGTTAAAAATATTTTAAGTAATGAAAATTTTTACTGAAGCACATTTTTAAATCAACATTTACTAGTCATCAAACTTACTCTGCACTAATAAAATAAGCAATCCAGTCTTCATAAACACTACTGAAAATATTTACCACCCAATATACATTACTTTGTTACCACTGAGATATACTTGTATTTAAATTTTAAAAAAATAAAATTATTTTCAATTCCTCCTTACATTAGAAGTAGGCAATTGATTTTTCCAAAATTCTTTTTCTTTAATCTCTAAATAATCAAATGTGACCCCGAAAGAAAATCTAGATATTAAATCATCAGTCATCCTAAAAGAGTAATGATTTGATGTGAGAGCACCAGTTTCTTCACACTTTCTTTGCAAAAACAGAGGACAAGCTGAAGATCTAGCACTCTTTCCACAGGTTTCAGATACGACTTTACCATCACCTTACTGAAGAGGCAGACACAACCTCTATTGTAACATCTTCCTATACAACAGCTTACAATGAGGTCTCTCATAAAGACCTGTAAGAAACTACAAATTATTTGTGAAAATTTTAGCAGATACGAAAATCGCTTAAACCTCATTTTCTAACAGTCTTTTACTTGTATCTTTCAGTAAATAAACAGTAACAGTATTTATTTATTTATGTTTTGTTTTACAATTTTTCTTCTAAATTTAAAAACAGAAAAGATCTCCTAAGGAGACTCCTATAATTGCTCTCACATAAAAGGGTGTCTTATCTCTAAGAAAGTAAGCTGAATGAGTCTAGGAACCCAACTGTTAAACAAAAACACCCAGAGAGTAACAGTCCATATGCTAAATGTGTTTGCTAAACTTTAATGTGTATCCGACCGTCTAGCAATGTTGTTAAAATACAGATTCTGACTCAGCAGAGCTGGAACAGGGCCTGAGACTCTGGGATTCCAACAAACTCTCAGATGTTGCCCACGCTGCTGGCCCACTGACCATATTTTGAGTAGAGAGGCAGAGAAAATCACTATTACTTTGGGAACATACTCAAAATGCCTAAGAAACAAAGATGGTAAAGTGGAATATGAACAATGAGAAATACTTGACACAATAAATGCTCAACAAGTGCTTGCTGAGTTAATGAACAAAGCAAAGAATGCAACATATTATTAAATGTGGAAGCTAAACCATTAACATTTTTTTAGAACTCATCTGGTGCTTAATCAAAAATTAACTGAAATTGTTAACCACAGAGCTGTGCAAATTCCAGGTTGTCCGTGCATGTAGCCATGGCCCTTGCCCAGTTAGTATTCTTGCTGTCTCCATTGATGTGATTGATCTCTTTGCCACATTTCAGAAGAAATGATCAAGACATGAATAAAGAATTAGAGAATAACATCTATCAGAGCTGACTCAATACATTTTGCCACATAATTGGACATATGTAAAAAAACTGAACACAAGAACAAACGAGAACACAATATAAGGAATAGGCACACAAGCAGAAGGGCAAAAGAATTCTTTTGCAACATACTGCAACCAGCTTCAGGTAATATCATAAATGCAAGAAAACAGACAATGCAGCATTCAGCAGAGAGGCCACAATTCAGTCTATGCAAGGAAAGGTAGATAAAACATAAATTATTAAGGATGGTTTTATGCATGTTCTTTCCAGCTTTGCACATGGGCAGTGATGTAAGGAAGAGCCACAAAAACAAAGGTGGGGTGGGACAAGAAAATACAAAATGAAAACAAAAAACCGGGCAAGTATCTCCAGTTAGCTCTGAGGCTGATCAGAATTAAGCAAATAAACAGAAAAAAGAAAGATTCTATGAGCTATTTATGAGAAGCTCAAACTCATCCTGACAAATCTGTTATACATGCAGCCAAATTCTTCACATTACAAATGACAGAATGGAGAACCAGAGGAAAAGATAAGAAGTCAAGCAGTAAAAAACAGGATAAATGTTCAGGAACGACTATAAGGATACATGGAAAAAACCAAGGAGGGGGGTGTGAGCAATGGAGGGAGGTGGGTTTGGCTGGGGTAGGGGGCCCTGGTGGGGGGCGGAATGCAGACAACTGTAAGTGAACAATAAAATAATTCATTTTAAAAAAGCAGGGTAAATGCTTACAAATAGACCTTTCCTCTATAAATAATACTATTTTTCATTCTGGATACAAAATCCAAAGGAAGTATCTGTTTATGTAATGTCAGAAAGAGGTCTTGTGATTTTTTTAAAAAATCAGCACAGCACTGAAGACAAAGTAATGAGTTCCCATTCCATTTCAATCCTAACCCTCCAAACCCTGGGAATTACACCACAGCTCGTGTCAAAGATACACTTGTGTTAACAGTGTGCATCTGTTGACTTCAGGCAAATCAGATCTTTAACAACCTGATACGGAGGAGACTGCAAGTGCTGGGTGCTATCTTTCATCTTTTTTGTGTCTCTTTCTAACATTAGCACAGTCAGTACTCCACTAATGCTTCTTGGGTGAAAAACTTTACAAAAAGCACCATTAAAAAATTCCCCTTACAATCATCATTTAGGAATAAAGTTTAATGATTTGATTA